GGGTTTGGATGGAGGAAGGGCCCGAGACTTGGCGGGGGAGAGGGGGTAGCAGGCACAGCTGCCGTGATTGGGGTGGTAGGAAGGATAACAAGGGGTGAACCTGGCCTTCAGGAAGACCCCCCTCCGAGGACTTGGGGCCTGGACCGGAGGAGAGGCACCTGTGTGGTGCCTGGACCTTCCCTTCCAGGTGCTGGACTCCTCAGCGCGGGTGTATTTACTGAGCGTGCACTGCACATACATAAGCAACAGTTGGCTTCCCACACCTGCTTGGTCATCTGCCCTGCTTCCCAGCTTTCGTGTGTGCTCACGCAGGTGTGCAGGCACACCCAGGACCTTGTGCACACGCGATGTCTCATACCCCTCCCTGCTCACTCCACTCCACTCCACTCCCCTCCCCCAGGACTGAGCCCAACCCCGACTTCCCAGCTCTGCTGGTGGAGAAGTTGCTTCAGGAGCACCTGGAGGAGCAGGAGGTCGCACCCCCAGGTGACCCCCTTTTGCATCATCCTCTCTTACTGTTGGGGGGCCGCGAGTGAAGACTCCAGGCCCCACCAGCATCAGCAGGTTCGGTTGCAGGGGGGAGCGGACCACAGCATAGAATTGGCGTTTATTGTGTTTGTGTTTTCCTGTCCTCCAGCTCTGCCACCTAAACCACCTAAAGTCAAGCCCGCCCCAGCAGGGCTGGCTAATGGGGGGAGCCCGCCCTCTCTGCAGGATGCTGAGTGGTACTGGGGTGACATTTCCAGGTAGGGTTGTGGGGTAGGGTCATGTGGTTGGTAGGCAAGGCCTGAAGGACAGGGTCTCCAATGGGAGGCTCCAATCCTGGGTGTCCCCACAGGGAGGAGGTGAACGACAAACTCCGGGACACACCTGACGGCACCTTCCTGGTCCGAGATGCCTCCAGCAAGATTCAGGGAGAGTATACCCTGACCCTTAGGTGGGGGCCTGCCCCTTGGGGACTCCTGGGGTGAGAGGGGGGAGGAGGACGTGTGCTGTGTCAGGGCCAGGACACCTGGAAGTCAGGCTTGGGGTCCTACTGGATGGTGACACCCCCTCTTACCCACCCCCAGGAAAGGTGGAAACAACAAGCTAATTAAGGTCTTCCACCGCGATGGGCATTATGGCTTCTCGGAGCCGCTCACCTTCTGCTCCGTCGTGGACCTCATCACCCACTACCGCCATGAGTCCCTGGCCCAGTACAATGCCAAACTAGACACACGGCTCCTGTACCCCGTGTCCAAGTACCAGCAGGTCTGGGGCCTGGGCAGGAACCAGAGAGGGTGGCCCTGGGCCTGAATTGCCCAGGTGGCCTCACTGCTCGCACTGGGTGTCCTCAGGACCAGATTGTCAAGGAAGATAGCGTGGAGGCAGTGGGTGCCCAGCTCAAAGTCTACCATCAGCAGTACCAGGACAAGAGCCGCGAGTAAGACCAGCTCTACGAGGAGTACACACGCACCTCCCAGGTACCTCGGGCCTGCGCACATGGGGAGACGAGGCATGGAGGCCAGTGGCAAGGCCATGGGGACAGACAACTACTTCCGGGTCACAAAGCAGTCACTCAGCACCAGGAACTGCCCTGAAAACATAGAAATATATGTGCGTGGTGTTTTCTATATATTTTTATTGATTTCAGAGAAGAAGGGAGAGGGACAGAGAAAGGGAGATAGAAACATCAATGATGAGAGAATTATTGATCGGCTGCCTCCTGCACCCTGGCATGTGCCCTTGACCGGAATTGAACCCAGGACCCTTCAGTCTGCAGGCTGACGCTCTGTCCACTGAGCCAAACCAGCTAGGGCGTACGTGTTTTTATTTTTATTTTATTTTTTTAAGAACAAACGAGATGATGCCAGTCAGCCTCTCAGGAGCAGGTGGGCTAGGACCTGGGAGATGTCTCGGTTAACCTGTGCATCTCTCAGTACCTCAGTTTCCCCATCTGCAAACTGGAACTGTGTGTTTTAATGCCTTTAACCTAGAGGTCATTTATAGTGATGACAATAATCTGGCGTGGGATTAGACAGACAGTCAGGAGGTCACATTAAAGAACAGCATCTTCTAAAACAGGGAAGGGGAGGTTCTCTTACTCTGGAACTGTGTTAAAAATTTCTTTGGCAGCCGAAACTGGTTTGGCTCAGTGGATAGAGCGTCGGCCTGCGGACTGAAATGTCCCAGGTTCGATTCTGGTCAAGGGCATGTACCTGGGTTGCGGGCACATCCCCAGTAGGAGATGTGCAGGAGGCAGCTGATCGATGTTTCTCTCTCATCAATGTTTCTAACTCTCTATCTCTCTCCCTTCCTCTCTGTAAAAAAATCAATAAAATATATATTTAAAAAAAAATTCCTTTGGCAAGTTGAGATGCAACTTACTCAGATCAAATGTCCCTCTCAGGCTGGGAATGGCTTGCTTCCCCTGTGGTCCCTGAAGGATTTCTTTCTTGTCCTCTTTTTACTGATGCGTCTGCTGAGGCTCTGAGTGGACAAGATGCCTGCCTGGGATCTGTTAGGAACATCGTGACTTGGACAAGACTTAGGCTCCCTGAGTCTTAGCTTCCCCATTACTATTTCTGACTTTGCAGGAGGCTGTTGGCAGGCTCTGTGAGATGGTGCACGGGAAATGCTTGGTACAGCATTTACTCTGAGAAGGAACCGCATGAACTGTAGCAACTAGATTTATCATTTAATTATCAGCAGTGCTAACAAGTCTAGATGTTTGTAAGGTGCCCAAAGGGGTTGTAAAAGAGGAGTGAGTTTGGGGAAATGGGGGATTGAAGGTTGAATAGGAGTTCGTTTGGTGCGGTAAGAGCTAGAGGAATGACATGCCTAGAGGATGGAACAGCTTGAACAAAGAGTTGGGATCTGCCATCACCCTCAGGAGGGACTTGCGGGGAGTCCCAGATGATGCTGAGATTCACCCCCTCCTCCAGGAGCTGCAGATGAAGCGCACCGCAATCGAGGCCTTCAATGAAACCATCAAGATCTTCGAAGAGCAGGGCCAGACTCAAGAGAAGTGCAGCAAGGAGTATCTGGAGCGCTTCCGGCGTGAGGGCAATGAGAAAGAGATGCAGAGGTGAGTCCTGCCCCTCTGCCCTGCCCTTCCCACCCTATCTAGTGCAATGCAAGTGGGAAAAGAAAAGAAGTAAAGGGGGCAGCTGGGATTCCAGGGGGAGGGAGGGTCCGTTGAAATGGGCTTTGAAGGCTGAATAGGAGTTCACCAGAGGAGAAATCAGGGAAACAGCATGTGCAGAGGCTTAGAGGCTGGGAGCCATCCACGGCCTCTGAGCCACTCCTCCCCCCAGGATCCTGCTGAACTCAGAACGGCTCAAGTCTCGCATCGCCGAGATCCACGAGAGCCGCACGAAGCTGGAACAGGAGCTGCGGACACAGGCCTTGGACAACCGGGAGATCGATAAGCGCATGAACAGCCTGAAGCCAGACCTCATGCAGCTGCGCAAGATCCGAGACCAGTACCTGGTGTGAGTGCCCTACGCTCGCCTAGGACCCCATTATGAGGACCTTGGCAAGGGCTCTTTCCCCACCTGGGCCTTAGATGCTTGCCTGCGCCTGCTGTATGCCAGCACTGTGCTGAGCCACCATGCACGTACTTTGTCGTCTCCAAGTCCTTTGTAAACTTTCCCCTTTCCAGCTAGGAAAACTGAGACGCAGAACAGATCACTGCGCCGTGGGTGCGAAGGCCAACAGCATTGTGTGCAGCCCCTAAGACTGAGTTTCTGGTGGTGATATGACCCCGCGGGGTGGCCGGTTCTGGAGGCTCCACAAGTGTTAACAGAAACAGAATAAATAGGGGGTTTCCTGGCAGAGCCAGCCAGGCTCTTCCACCTTCAGGCTGGCCCCTTGTGGCAACCGGTGGTATTGCACCCAAACCCACCCTCCTTGGTCAGCCCTTGCCTCCCAGCAGGCTGGACTGGACTGGACTCGACCCCTGTGGTCTGGCCCTGCCTCTGCTGCACCACCCGCCTTTTCTTCTCCTCCCAGATGGCTCACCCAGAAAGGCGCCCGGCAGAAGAAAATCAACGAGTGGTTGGGAATCAAAAATGAGACTGAAGAGTGAGTGACCACATGAAGGGTGGCAGGGAGGGCCATTTTTGGTGGGTTTTGCAAAATGAGTAGGAGTTCACCAGGAAGGGAGTGTTGTCCGGGGGGCAGGGGGGCCTCAGAGGCTGCCGGGTAAGTGACCAGCGCCCCTCCCTGCCTCCCCCACAGCCAGTATGCACTGATGGAGGATGAGGATGACCTCCCCACCATGAGGAACGAACCTGGTATGTGGGCAAGATCAACCGCACGCAGGCTGAGGAAATGCTGAACGGCAAGCGGGATGGGACCTTCCTCATCCGTGAGAGCAGCCAGCGGGGCTGCTACGCCTGCTCTGTGGTGTGAGTGCCTTGGGGGTGGAGGAGCCACATGTTCCTTCCAAGAGCTCTTATTGAGCACCTACTGTGTGCTAGACTTTGGGAAGACAGTTGGGAAGAAGATCCCCATGGCTGCCACAGGAAGAAGGGATTACTGGGGGTAGGGGAGGAAGCGGGGACAGTGTCCAGGCCAGAGATGTTGGGGTCTGGACCAGGTCAGGGGCTGAGAATTGAGGGAGCGGCTGGGGGAGCCCCTGAGGTGCCCACCTGACCACCTGTTTGCTCACACCACAGGGTGGACGGCGATACCAAGCACTGCGTCATCTACCGCACGGCCACTGGCTTGGGTTTTGCGGAGCCCTACAACCTGTACGGGTCTCTGAAGGAGCTGGTGCTGCATTACCAGCACACCTCCCTCGTGCAACACAACGATGCACTTACCGTCACACTGGCCCATCCCGTGCGAGCCCCGGGTCCCGGTCCACCCCCGGCCGCCCGCTGACTCATACAGAGCAGGACTCCATCTATCTGTCTGTCTGTCTGTCTTCTTTGTGAACCTTTCTCTGTCTCAATCTCTCCCTTGCTTTCTCTGAGTCTCTCTCTTCCTGTCACTCTTTCTACCCCTGTCTCTGTCCTCTCTCTCTTAGTCTCTGTACCTCTATGTCACTGTTAGAGGAGCATACCTCCTCCACCCCATGCCCCCTTTCCCCATGGGCACTGCCCTCCCCCGGCTCTGGCTGCCCCCACCAGTTCCTACGGTTCCCCCAAGCGCCCCCTGCCTGCACCTGCCATGTTTACAAAGGCCCCTGGGGTGCTCAGCCCCAGCCTGGTGCCCTGATTTTTAAGCCATAGACCTGGGGTCCGGGCAGGAAGAAGGCAGGAAGGAACTTCGCTGGGCCACTTCCAAGAACCTCAGCTGTGACATTCGGGGCCGGGCGGGTCCCGATGCCCCACAGACCCAACTTCCCCTCCAAACCCTGAAGTGAAACCCGCACCGGTTACCCCCTCATGGAGCTGCTGCCCAGAAGCCCTCCCCCGCTAAAAGCAAAATGATTAAAAATAACCTCAAGAGCGGGGCCCTCTCTGACCCCAGGCTTCCCAGGAACCGAGGCTGCCGCAGGGACTGCTGGGCCAGCCGAGAGGCACCGCTGCCCACAGCACCTCCGCTCGATGCAGTTTCAAGGCTTCTCCTTGATCATGTTGGGTTCTGATTTTGTTTCCTTGACTGTAAACCCATTTTCTCCTCTTTTGGGACAAGAACCCCGGTTTTCTATGCTGCCATGGACCCCACCCCCCCCTCCTGGCCCCCCCCCCCCCCTGCCTGCCCAGCTAGGCTGGCAGGTGGGTTTTGTATGGTACGTTGATACTGATGTGGATATAAAACATTGAACTCAGTGGATGCTTCTGTTATTGGCGGGGCTTCTCCATGGCCACTGTGTGCTGGGGCCCTGGCATTCGCGTGGTCACACAGAGAGGGGCTTGAGTTTAACTCGGGCTGCCCGTGGGGGCCCACAACCCCAGCCCCCTCCCCCTAGTGTAGCTGCTTATGTCCAGAGAAGTTGAGAGACCTGACCAAGGTCACACAGCAGAGAGGTTCAAACCCTGAACTCTGGCTTAATCAAGGGACCCCAGACTCCAACCCAGCTCTTTACTGGCCCCCTCGGTTTGAGGCCCAGCACTCAAGCCACTGGCCATACCGTGATGTGCAACTTCCCCATTGCCAAGTGCGGTCAATAGACACAACCCCTACCACGCCACCCCAAGAGTTCTTTCTGAGCTGGGGTTATGTGTATGAGTCCATCCAGCATTGTGAGCAATTACTGAACGGTGAGCATGGTGGATGGTGCACGTGGGCCGGCTAAATAGCCATCTCAGATGGTGACTAAAGAAAACAAATTATTTAAGGGGAGGGGCTGGGGATGAGCTATCCAAAGGGAAGGGCCGCACCGCTGAGCCAAGGGGACATTGGGTCGACGATGGCAGCGCCCAGTAGCTAGAGTTGCATCTTTATATGCAGTCACTGGGGGGAAACGTCAGTAGGTTTGGGGGCTGAGCTGGTGGGTTTGGAACACAGGTGTGCAATCAGGTGCCTTCAGGACACTTGCCATTCCTTGTGTGGTCTGACTCCTCGTGTCCAGCGAGTTTTTCCTGTTCTTTTGTTCTCCTGGCGGGAAGCTTACAAATGGCCGTTAAGGATTGCATTGCCCTATAAGCCTAACAATTGTATTTATCTGTTTCTTCCATCCTGCCCAGCACAGAGAGCACCCAACTGGCTCCCAAAGTCGTGTTGCTTCGCTTGGCAGAGACTTCAGGAAGGAAATGGGTTTTGCTGAGGGTCCAAAGGGATGGGATGGGTGGATCATCCAGCCCCGGGGACTTCAGGCAAAGCCTGGCTCCCAAGCTGTTGCCGTGAGCGTGTGTGTGTGTGCAGGCTGGCACTTCCCCAGCGTGTGTGTGACGCGGGCTGTGGGAGCTGTGGCCGTGGGGCGTTGGCTGTATTCCAGGCCAGGTTGTGCGCGTTTCCTCCTGTGAGGTCTGACTCCGTGTCACGACTGGAATGTGAGACCTTGCAAAGTGTGACTGTCTCAGTCGTTCTCCCAGTACTCCCAGCTTCCAGTCCTTCAGCAGGGCTGTTCTGTCTGCCTTCACTGCTGTCCTGTGTCACCCCCTCCCAGGGTCACAGCCCAGCTGCCCCACCCCCCCTCCCAGGCAACTCTCCCTCTGCCTCTGAGTCTTCCACGGTGGCTTTATTCCCCAAACCTCCCTCTTCTCCCATTTTATAGACTGGGAAACTGAGGCTCCATCACTTGAGGTGCCCGGCACAGTCCTGGGGCTAACCTGGTCTGGCTGACTGCTGGTTTGGGTCCTACATGGGCATCCCCACCCCCCACCCCATGGACATAGTTCAGGCTTCAGGAATTGCTGCTCCAACCCCAGGGGAGCTTGCTGAGGGCCAGGATGCACGTGGCAACCCCCTCTCCCCACCCAAAACCCCTAACCTTGGGAAGAATGACCACCAGCTTCCTCCCACCCCCTAGAGTCAGGGCGGGGGCCAGGAGAAGTGAGCGGCCCTCCTGCTCTGGCTTCTGCTTTCTGGCCCAGCTGTGGCCAAGTCTGAGTCAACCCCTCGGGACTATATCTGGGCTGGGGAGTGGACTGGGGCTGGGGTGAGGGGCAGGCCCATGGGTTAGGAGTAACGGGGGTCTTGAGCCAGGCTAGGGAAAGGGTCCCGGCTGTGCAGCCATGCCCACTCCCAGGTAGGGAGTCGCACCCGCCCTCCCCGGCCCCCAATAGTGCAGGGATGCCCCGGCTGGGGGCAGGGGGCTAGACCACCCTAGCTGCCCCAGAGGGCTCTGTGGTGCGAGAAGACCCTTCCGTCTCCCTCTTTGTGTCTGTTTCTGAAGCTCCCGCCCCACGTGCGCTCCAGGAGCTTGATCCCAGCTTCACGTGTCTGGGCTGGGCAGATGCGGGGCTGGGATGAGGGTGAGGTGAACCGCTGAGCAGCCGGATGGCCAAGTGATTGCTGTCCCAGGCCCTGGC